ACGTGATTTTATTTATAACACAATATCTTAACAACTAACCCTTGTTTTTAATATATAACTATACTCTGTGACACATATAAGTCCCATCTATACAAATATTACATTTTATGTTAAGTCCCATCTATACAAATATTACATTTTATGTTATTTTGTAAGAAGCAAAAAAATTTGTGTTAATTCTTGTTTGTAATTGGTGCAATTGTTTTTGGCGCCAATTTTAACTATTGTATATTGCTATATACAGGGGCGTACCTAGAGCATTTGGCACCCGGGGCGGATCCTGTGCTTGGCACCCCTCCCCCCCACCCAAAAAAAAAAAAAAACCTGTAAAAAATGTTAAAGGTTTTCTTTCTTTTTTTTTTACAATTTGTAAACTTTGCAAAACCGCTGTCAGCCCCTCCTACAAAACCCTTGTCCTGCCCCGCCCCTCCTACAAAACCTCTGTCCTGCCCCTTCTACAAATCCTGTACTGCCCGTCTACAAAACCCCCGCAACCCCCTTCCACAAATCCCCTGCTTATCCCCCCTTATAAAGACTCCTGTCCCAATACAAAACCCCGCCCCCTTCTACAAAATCCCTGCAGCCCCACACACACATTTACAGGCAGACAGTCACACTCAGTTACAGACAGACAGTCACACACTCAGTTACAGGCAGACAGTCACATACAGTCACAGGCAGACAGTCACACATACACATTTCCTCCGTGCGGCCAGTTTATCAGCTGTTTGCTTGTGTGAGCTGTACTGGCCGCACGGCACCCTAACTACCATGGGACACTGTGCGGCCACAGCTCACACAACCCCCTCCAGCCAGGGCCGGTGCAAGGATTTTTGCCGCCCTAGGCAAAAGTAAAGTTTGCCGCCCCCCCATGTGACATCACAATGCCCCACCCATATGATTTGCCATGATAACTAACGCCAGTGCTGCAGTGCCGCCGTGTTTACATTAAAAGGCCTGCAGGGACAGGCTATAGACACCAGAACCACTACATTAAGCTGAAGTGGTTGTGGGGACTATAGTGTTTCTTTAATGTGAAGTAAATTAGAGCTTAGTGCCACGAATAATATACTAGATTGCCTACTTACAACCAGATGAGGATGATGATGGGCTCTAGCTGCAGTCTGGCTCCACTGGTCTGGTGCAGAACAGGCTCTCTGGAGGCGGTTTGTAACTGTGGTCACAAAAATCAATGTTCTGGGAGAACGGGAAGCAGCTCCATTTTTGGGGG